CAGGTGATCGGAGAAGATGGCGAAGTAATCGCCCGCCGAGGCTCTGGAAGACCACGAAAGACTCCTGCTGCTATGAATAACGTAGCAACATGGGCCACGATGCCAATAACCTTCGGTACGACGACCCCGTCGACCGTAATCCAATCCCGGACTGTGACACGGGAAAATCAGGCAGAAGGAAGCGATGCACCGCTGTGCAATATGACTCAATGAAAGGCACAAATACGTGGAATATCATACAGTATAATGTGAATAGAAGCAAAGATAAAGTACAGCATCACTTCCTTCAAGAGCTGAACCCCGAGGAGCACCATGTAGTAGCAGTCCAAGAGCCTTGGCGAAACCCATCGAATAACTTAACCCTCAAGCACCCAGGATATCACTTGGTATCATCAGATAGACCGAACAGCCGAACCTGCATATATGTCAGCAAGCGGCTAGCCACAGATAAATGGAGAGTCGAAAATGTCCCCGAAGAAGTCGGTGGAGACATAACTTCGATCAGCCTCCAGACCGAACAGGGAAAAGTGAGGGTTCATAATATTTGTAATCCCCCACCTAAATCCCATAGCAGCACAGAGCTGGGGACACTTCAATGGATCCCTCAAATTCTAATGCAGGATGACCTCCACATATTGGTTGGAGACTTCAATCTCCAGCACCCAAAATGGGGAGGCCAGGCAGCCATGTCACACCACAAAGGCTCAGAAATTCTTATCGACATGCTTCAAGGGTGTAACATGGGACTTATACTGCCCGAAGGAACCGTCACTTGGAAGAGTAGAGGGAGCCAAAGTACTCTTGATCTATCGTTCGTCTCAAAGAAACTTGAGGAGACCGTCTTAAGGTGCCAACCAGCAAACGAGCTTGAGGCATCTTCTGATCATATCCCCATACGTACTGAATTACAAATACAGCCAATTTCTCAAGTGGAAAAGACAACTTATCCCCAGTGGAAGAATGTAAATTGGGAAGTATTCAACGAACGACTCGCCACAATTCTGTACCAGAACCTGGATGATAGTCAGCTAGACTCCAGGCAAGCTATTAACAAGAGAGTTACGGTTATTACTAGTGCTATCCAACAAACAACTGAAGAAATGGTACCTAAGTCGAAACCTTCTCGATATGCAAAGCCGTACTGGACTAAGGAATGTTCAGCTGCAGTGAAAAGGGCAAGGAGAGCAAGAAGAAAATGGACCCGTGACTGCAACGAGGAAAGCTGGATTGGATACCAAGAAGCCACAAACCAGAAAAAAAGGCAGATAAAGAAAGCCAAAACGTTAGGCCGGAGAGCACTCGTTTTGGAAATAACAGAAGACCCGATCAAAATATGGAAACTAGCTAGATGGGCCAAGAAAAATGACAGAGAAGTAGGGAGGTCCACTCTGATACCAGACTTCAAGGACGCGAAAGGAAATACTGTCAAAGAAAACAAGGAGAAAGCCAACATCATGGCTTCTCATTTTTTCCCACAACCCTCGCAGGCAGATACCAGCGATATTGCTAACACAATCTATCCCGCGGAATAGAGACAATCTCCAACAAAATGATTGAGGATGAAATTGAAGAAATAGCAGGATCCCTACCCAGCGACAAAGCCCCAGGTCCGGACGGTATACCGAATCGAGTCTTAAAGCAGTGTAGGAAGACTCTAAGCAAAATACTAACAGTCTTGTTCAATGCCTGTCTCAAAATTTGATATCATCCGAGAGAGTTCAAGGATTCTACCACTATTGTCTTGAGAAAGCCTCAGAAGCCAAACTACGACACTCCAAAAGCTTATAGACCGATCGCACTTCTTAACACTATAGGTAAGCTGCTAGAAAGGCTGGTAGCCAATCGTCTCTCCAAGGCAGCCGAATCTTACAATCTCTTTCCCGAAGAGCAGATGGGTGCTCGACCACAACGGTCCACCATCTCGGCAGTAGAGCTTCTCACGGAACAGATTCATACAATTTGGGGTAAAGATAAGAAGCGAGTGGCCTCTCTGTTAAGTCTAGATATATCGGGAGCCTTTGATAACGTGTCCCACCAAAGGTTACTACATAACCTGAGGGAAAAAAGAATTCCGGGGTGGATTATACTATATGTGACGCCCCGACATTTCAGTGGCCACGTGGCCGTCGGTTCAATAGTTGGTAAGCCGACACAGGGTCAATCCAGGAATTCCAACGACTAGTTTCACACACACGAGTCTTGTGTGTGACAAATCACGATACGAAAGGTTTGTCATGGATATTGGTTTTCATGCGAAACCCTTGGGTTGCAGGCAATGAGGGACAGGAGGTTTCGTGTTGGCAACTCTATTTCAACAGTTGAACTCCTATGTAAATATATACAGATTCATATCCTCCTAGGTACTTTTCTCTTTAGTTTAGAATCTTATGATTTGAGTCCACGCCAGCTTTTGACCACTCGCCAATCGTCTATTGTCCCTCGAGTTTCCACACTATATATAAAATCTTTCCTCGAAGATAGAACAACCTCCATGGTACTGGGATCATTCCGAGGAAAGAAGATCTCTACCAGTACAGGAATACCGCAAGGCTCCTCTCTATCACCTATACTGTTTCTATTTTTCGTCAGTACACTCCTTCCAATGTTGAACACTTCCTCTACATCAGCTGTAGGATTTGTTGACGATACCAACATTCTAACTTGGTCCAATACTACGGAGGAAAACTGTCGAGAGCTCGAGAGGCAACATAAGGTCTGCGAGCAGTGGGCAAAAACGCACGTAGTCAGATTTGCGCCTGAGAAGTATCAACTAATGCATTTCTCACGAGCTCGGAAGAGACATGACCTTAAAGCAACAGTCCAGATCCAAAGTCACACTACAGCGCCACAGCCTTCCCTGCACGTCCTTGGAATCTACTTTGATCCAAAGCTCAACTGGGGGGCGCACATCAAAAGTCTAAAGCTGAAAGCAGAGACACAGGTCCAGGCCATAAGTAGGCTGACGCAGTCCACGTGGGGAGCCACATTTCACAAGTCAAAGCTGCTTTATAGCGCAATAGTGAGACCAGCCCTTACGTATGGGTCGCCAATCTGGGCTGAGGCCGGGCCAGGAGGTAGAATACCCGAGAGGATAGTCAAACCCCTTCGAAGCTCTCAAAGAAATTGTCTAAAAGTAGTAACTGGAGCATACAAATCGACAAGCACCAGGGTGCTGGAACATGAATCTGCTACTCTTCCGATGGAAATCTACTTGAAGCAACAAAGGGCTCAGTATGTAGGCCGCTCAAGTCATCTACCAGTCCAAAAGACTATTCAATCAGCATGTGCTAAAATAAAACTTCCCAGAAGAGGAAGAGAAGATATTAGAGCACATAATAGAAGAGCAGACCTTGTCTACTGGAAAGAGATTTGCGGAGAGGAGAAATCCAAGGACTTACAAAAAGAAGCAATAAGAGTTGCAGCGTACCTAGAATGGGCGAAATCTTGGTCAGCCACAAAGCGAACTCGACAGCCTAAAAGATTTGCTTCAGCAGATCCTAAAACTTGGGCAGCAGCAAAGTTTTACCAATGCCGCCATTCTGGACGTACAAAAATAAGCTTCCGAGAGTCGCCATTTTCTCTCCACAAAAACCTGACGAGGGCCCAAAGTAGCTTAGCAATCCAAATTCGAAGCGAGCATATTGGGCTCAATTCGTATTTGCATAGAAGAAAAATACCAGGAGTCTACAATCCATGCTGTCCGTGTGGCTACCAATCACAAAATCCCAAGCACATGATCATGTCCTGCCCTAAGTGGTCAATTGGTAGAGGAGAAGTCTGGAGACAAGCCCGAAATCGCTCCTTTGAAGCAATGACCAACAATCCTAGCGATATGAAAAGAATCACACGATGGATTCTTAATCATGGTTGGATAGAACAATTCCGCTTGACAAATGCAGTCGAAATGCTGCTCAGGGAACGAGAGGGAACATGTGGAAGGTTGGGATCGATAGAAGGGACGTGATTGGTACATACAGACGGCACTACAATGTAACTGTGCTTCCTGAAGGATAAATTGCAAATTTCAAAGATACAAATCAGAAAGCTGGGGAGGTTTTTACCGAGAGGTTTCCTCCTATGAAAATATATAGATAGGTTTACAGCCACCTGCATGGGCCCATAGGGCGCCAAATCAGGACAATGAATACAAATCAAAACAATAATAATAATAATAATATTTAGTGTTGGGCTATCAATTAACCGGATAGGATAATGTTACAGGCTGCTGCCTCATTTACCTGTAACCGGAGTTTATCCAACTCCCAACAGGCGTCCTTCCTAAATTAGTTAGGTTCACGTAATTGCTTATGTAAAGTCCGGGATTCGAGGCGTCGCGTAGTCTTTGTACTCTGATAAATCCCATATAGATTATTTTCCCTTTCGGTAGAAAATAAATATCATTTTCGACATATGTTCGCGAGAAGCTGGCATACTGTCCCTTAACATCGAGCGTCATAAAAGTGTTTGATATCTCATCTTACGCAACATTATCTTCTACCCACAGATGTTTAGTTACATTTTTGTTCTGTTCCTGTCCAATCTGTTTTAATCTTTGAAATTTAAATCCAACCAGTGACAATCAAAGGTACTTTATCAGAACTACAATTTCACAATAAAATGATATAATCTTTACCAAGAGCGGAAATATAGGTATTGCCATTGCACCAGTAACATCGCAACACACTTCGCCCAATGATCTTGTGATGGTAGATCTACAATTTATCAGTCAGTCTACCAACCATATGACTATAAACAGAACAGCCTATCAAGGAAACTACTTACGGTACCCAGAATCTGCTACTACTAGTGCGATGCCGCATGACTAGTGCCACATCCTAGAAATACATTTTCGGCCTTCCAACCTATTACTCACTATATCATACAATCCATATCAGTATTTTTTTATTTGATAAATTCAAAATAAGAGTCAAGCGTGAGCAGCTTACCTGACTCGTATGGACAATGATTTAGTTACGATAAAAAGCTTATAACGATTTCGTCTACATAATTAATGAATGTATGGTTTTGTTGAATGCCTCCATGGTAGCGTTGTATAGGGCATTATTATCCTTGTGAGATCCGATATAGAATTCCCCGTACGGCAAAAATAAAATCATTCTGTATTTCATTGCAAGGACCCAAAGTTTTTGAAACTTTAACGAGAATCTAGGCAACAATTGTTGAACGAAATGAGAACTTTCTATTTCAGTTTTCTTGAATTCGAATATCTCATAAGCTGTCCCCTTATACCATTTTGAAAGGTATTCTTTGTTCGGCTTTTTATCATCTTCCCATCCACAGCTTAAGCATTGCCAAAGCAAGACATAAAAGAATGACTCGAGGTCATGGCGGTATGAATGCTCCACAATGACGCCTGTGCTTTCACAACTGCCACTCAAGATCTCCAGCGCCATGAACTCCATTGTACCGGTCATGGCCTGTCTTTTCTCTTGAGCTTTGCCATCCGTAAGTAAGACGGCTAGGTTCAGGTCAATGACATATCCTTTCCAGTCTTTGTGGGCTTCAGATCCAGTCATGATGATATTATTCGCAGAGATATCACGGTGTAATATTTTTGCTTTCGTCATCAATGACCAGTGAGCCTTGATGGCATCACGCAGTACGGTAACCAGCTCAAGTGGTGATTTCACATTATGTAGCGATCTTCCGTAAGGTGATGTTGCAACAGCTGAGGAATGACGATCTCGTATCTCTGCAAACTTGACCTCTACTTCAGTGTAGGCGTCAACATTATCAGTATCGACCTCGAAATCACCTTCTCCATCTATAAAAGGTATAATGGTGGCGTTTCCGTCCTTAATAGGAACCGTACTTGTAACGAAATCGTCAACAGAAGATGCTTCCTCTACCCTACTGGATAGATGCAGTCTCTTGATCCGTCCGTTGACTTCATCGTTCTCTGTGCTCTTCCGTTTCTCCCCGGTAGACTCTGCGTTTCCTCTCAGGGAACTTTCTGTCTTATTGAGCATCCAATTTGCTGGGACGGAAGGTTCTTCTTCTTCGATGATCGCATTTAACGAAATGGTTGGTTTTCCTTCCGTGATGGTATTTCTAGTGAAAGATGCTTGAAATTATTAGTAAAATACTCGACATAATATTTACTGATTCACTTACGTCCATGTGAAGCCTTTGATCTCTTACTAGATCGACCGGTTTCAGTTCCAGAATCGCTTGTCGCACTTTTTCGTTTTGGCGCCCCAGCTATACTTGTGCTCTTGCTTTCACGAAGCATGATACCATCAGTGAACGAGAGCGGTGTGGCCATGGCTATGTCGTCCGGATATGTATTTTTCACCATTTTGTTAGTGAAAATCAGATCCTTTCGAAGATCGCTAATCTTTACGAAATCACGCGATCCCATAAGATTTGCCATACCATCCACGTCTCTCGCAACTTTCAGCAGCTCGGCTTCCGAATGATCCCCGCACATTCTCCAAGAGAACTTGACTGCACAGTCCCCTTCCAAAGTGTGGTAGCAGCTAGTTCCCCTGGATACTAGTGAGGTCTGTTGAGAAACTGGTTTGGGAGAAAGTTTGAACTCACGCTCTTTCTCCGGTCCGCCAACATCCAGGGTGACAGTAATCTGATGGGCCTCATACTTGATATTAGGGTCGAGACCGAGTTCAGCGTCGCTCATTGACATGTATGCCGCCATAACGTAAACAAGCGTCTGCGGCGATTTGCCAATATCAATGTACGAGCCGCAGTACGGCCCTGATCTATCATAAACCCAGAGCAGAAGTGACTTTTTGAAAAGATGGAATGCGTGAGCAAACCGTCGAAGGGGCTGAGCAAAAAAGAGCTCGCGCATTAACACCGATAGCTGGAGAAACTTATCCATGAACACAGTCTGTGTGGACTCCGTAAACTCCCCCACCACGAGTACATCGCGCCAGTGGTGTCGTTCAGAAGTCGGTAGTCCTCGCCGTTTGATAAAGTAATCAACCTGTCGAGCTGTCTGACCACCATCAAATTCGCTGGCTTTGGTACTTCGAAACTGGGTTTTGTTGAGATGGTTTTCATCTTCTTCGGTAGTGGAACTCGATGCTGTTATCGAGGTGGCACAAGTCTTGCTGGATGACTCGAATATTTTACTTTCCACAGCCTTCATCCATTTCCAAACTAATTTTTCCGTGGGTGTTTCTGGGAACTTCAAATCGTCCTCCGCAGATCGCTTCACAAATTCCTTTGCTAGGCCGATACACTTGTCTTCCCACAATTTATTTGTGAAGTACTTTTTCCAAAACCCTTGCACATTTATGTATACCGAGCCATGGAGCTCTCTGCGAAGCAATATTTTTAAACGTTCCATTGTCTGTTCTGTACAAGCTTGAGTTGTACCAGCACGCCTGAAAATTGATTTAGCCGCTAAATTCTCCACCTTTTTTTCTTGGGATGCGAAAATTGACTCAAGCGTATCAGCAAGCTGCAATAGAGATTTCCAGATCTCGATATCTGTCGCGTTTGTTAGGATTAGTGACGCCAGGGGCTCGAATGGAGCCAAGTCAAATGGTGTCGACTCAATCCGAAAAGCTATCGTAGTGAGTCGGGAGTTGATGTTATTCGCGTTGCTTGGGAACAATTGTGCGCGGTTGATATATGTTGAAAAGCTGTTTATCAAGTTTCTTACAGGATTCAGGCATTTCTTCGTATTTTTGGGTTTGGCAAAGACCGTGTCGCAAGGTGTTGAGAAGAAGGTGTAATATAAAGCACGGAAATTGTCCAAAATATTTTCCAATGGGTTTTCTGCAAGGTAGCTCTCCATTGTGGTAGTAAGTGACATGATGTCATGTAGATGAAGGTTCGAGTTTGGGAATGGAACCGAGAATAATGATGATGGTGGTAATAGAACACTTTGTCTTTGACGACTTGTGAAAGCTGGGTGGTTTTATATATCTTGACAATCTTTCATTTCAGTGCATTCTTTTTACTAAACTGTTCGAGTGACTATGACATATATCTATTTTAAGCTATTCCAAATGTCAAGGTTCATCGGCCTTCGTATTGTTATTCGATTCATGGACTAGCTAATTCGGGATAGCGGGTTGGATGGTGCAGTTGTACACCGTCTGGGCCGTTCTCCCGAGTAGATACTGGGTAGCTTGAACACCTACCCCATCTGAGACTGGAGAAAACTTGTTCAAATCCAGTGAAACCCACACACCGCTCTCTCTCGCGGCGACACTATATGTGTGAGATGATGAAAACACACTTAGATAGCCGCAGGGTTTTCACGCTTTTCCCTGTGGTGGGTATGCACGGAAGGGGTTACACGCCGCAAGGGTTAAGATCGAGTGGTATCTGCAAATGAAATCGGAGTGTGAGTGTTCTAAATGTCAATTTGAGTCATCCTACGGAAAGCAAATACCTTCCGATAAACCTTGCATGGGCCTCAAGGCGCCAAATCAGGAAAAATGAATTACATTTATATATATGAGGATAGCATTCATGTCAAACAGTTGGTATCGAGATCCCAAGTCGATTTATTTCCACTTATGCAAGACAAACATCAGGGTGTTGTGCGCATACTATTCCTTCTATCGCCTGAAGTTCGGGATATTTTGCAGATGACGCGTCACATTGAGTCTTGCAAACGTAAGGATTTTAACTAAAATTGTTCCTGCGATACGTCTGTTTCTGACTTTCTGCATGACAACAAACTCCAGTGATCGTCATTCTTGCATGTTACTGACCGCCCTTTTTCGTTCATCAACATCTTAGAAATATCTGTGGCCAATCTCTTACTTCTGAGACGAGCTTGCGAATGGATGCGTTCTAGAATTCATTACAAGTTGTCCTCAAATATAAGACTCCAGATGTGCAGACGCTTCCCTTAGCGTCGTAAGGCTTCTAGTGAGCAACTTACTGCGAATTCGCATGCAATGAAACTTGAAGGCTAATTGTGACAAGCCAATACATGTCCTTATGTAGACAAAAATAATGAGTACAACGAAAATAAATGAATGACAAGTCTAATGTGATTTTCATTTCATTTATTCTAATTTGGCACCCTTTAGGCCCAGTCAGGCGTCACGAACTCTAGTAATTATATAAGAGGAAATTTTTGTGATAAAAGCGCCCGCTACTTTTCAATTTATCTACATTTTAATGCAGTGTTACCTTTGAGAAGGGTACTAACACTATTATGTCCTGCGCATTGCGAATCAACGGTACATAACACTTCGCTGAGAAGATTAGTGTGAACCTCATTACGTAATCAAAAATAAGCGTGCTTGTAGTTAGTAGGTTATTCAATTGTTCAGGTTCGTAGCCTTGAGGCCCAAACAGGTGAGTGAGTGTTTATTGTCTTAATGAATGTATAACTATGTAAGGATATCTAGGTCCTTCCTGCACACTGCCGGGAGTATCTAGGCCTCATTCACGGCTTCTTTCCAGCAGTAATACCCCCACAGGTCTTCATTCAAGTACACACTAAGAGGAGCCGTCACCCCATCATCATCTCCCCTTTCCAGCCAATGAAACGATGGCCATTTGCGGGTGTGTATCTGCAGGGAAAGTCTCAGAAACCACTGGGTGCGGGGCTCTCCTATGACGAAGAGACCGGACATCAGGGCGCAGCAGACCTGCGTATACCTAAGAGCATCTCGCAAACTTCTTAGCTTGTTCCTCATTCTTTCCCTGGTCCATGCCGCAGGACAAACCAAAGGTCGCGAGAGTATGTCAGAAAAGTCTTGGTCGAGAGTGATTGTGGGGAAGGAAACTAGCCTAGCGTCCAAAAGTCAATAGGGACGTGGGGTCTTCAAGTAACTCATGTATTTCACATGCCATTCTGGCCTGTAGATTCGGAGTTAAGAATTAGAAGAGTGGATGGAATTGACGAGTCGAAATCTGTATTTCCTGAAGGCTGAAGAGACCAATACTTTGTTTTCGTGGGATTTTTGCTTGCTCATCGATGGGTGGCACATTTTGTGAAGTAACCTGGGTTACTCGGACTCTGTCGGCAGCGTTTTGTGCTGAATGATCTTTTCTCGTTCCCGGCATCATTAACGTCGTCCTTGTTTACTTGTAAGTTGACGAAGGGATATCTTCGAGGAAGAGGAATAAATTCAGCTTGATGTTGAAAAGGTGTTGCACAAACTCGATTTTGCAGACATTACAGTGAGATCTAGAGGTACGCAGGGGATACCACGGACAGGTGTTGAGAATATTCCCCCTGTCAATGTGGATATCCACCTCAAAATTTCAGGCCGATGATCATTGCCTGCAACAGCCGGGCCAAAGAAGAAAAAGAAATACTAAGAAAGACAGAGATACGGTCATTCGAGGTCATGACAAACGATCCAAATGACGTTGCAAGGATAACTGGATGGATTCAGCAGGAAGGACGGCTAGTGCAGTTTCGACTAACGCTTGAAGTCGAAGCCACGATAGAATGAGAGAGGGGAGTGGAGGAAACATGATCTCTTGCCGGTAGTAAGAAAGTGGGCGGTTTCTGCTGTGCTTTCGAGCGTTTGGGTAGCGGAGTGGCTTACGGTGACTGGGGACTCAAGCACGCCTATAATTAGTGTCACAGAATGCATGTAAAGTTCGGTTAGTCAGATGTTAGTTATACATTATTTTCCTCAATCTAGCAGCAAACTCCTATTACCACGAGCACACTGGCTTGAATGGTGCAGTGGTACACCATTGGCACGTTATCCCAAGTAGATACTGTGTGGCTCGAATACCTACCCCATCTGAGACAGGAGTAAGCTTGTTCAAATCCAGTAAAACCCACACACCGCTCTCTCTCGCGGTGACACTATGATGATGATGGAGGACGACGGCTGAACACCTGTCAGTGGTTTAATAAAAAAAAATCTATCAGTGATACCCTCTACGATCCTGGGACAGAAATATTCTCCCAGAGCCGAGATTCACTCACGAAAAAGGGTGGGATTTATTTCTTTTGATGGCTTTTCGACTTGAAGGAGTTGCACTCGATATTTTGGTCGAAAATCAGTCGGCAGAGATTTCATAGCCGAAGCAAAATCGAACAAAAACTCATCACCACCAACATACGATTCACAAATAGGCCTTGGTCTATATGGGAGTCGTATTCAAACATCTGACATATCTCAAACTCCTTATAAATTTGCGACGATCCATTTCTCAGCCGATCTCACACCTGCGACCCACCTCTATACTCGTCACGTCACCTAACATCACACTCCCTAATGAGGAAAGTCATGATGGAAACAGGACGTGTGCAAAGGAGGAAATTGCGCTACGGCGTGTACACAGCGGGTTTCTGGACGGTCAGGCTTGATATGATTCAATACATAGGTGAAGTCTGAGGTGGTCCGGTCATTAGAGTGGAACGAGGTTTATCAGTACTTCACGGTAGTTAACCTGATCCGGCCCGACCCAACTCGTGCTTAAGCTCCAATAGGAGTGCAACGGTAGCCATGTAACCTAGCACGTTAATGAACAAAACAAAACAAAACTATGATGATGATCTTTATTTTACGTCTGACGAGCCACGCGCTTGACGCGTGGCCCTCTTAAGTCCCTACAGTCTCTTAAGGGTGTCAAAAGTTCAATTGTAAAAATGACTGGGGCTAGATCCCTGTACATATTGCCTTAATTGGTATAGTCTTCATGCAGGCCCATGTCCAGTGACTCGACTAGCTGTGTAGGCAGGGGGTACTATCCAATGACATTCCGTGAAAGTCTAAATTATGGGGATGGTTTTCAACTCAATGGGAAAAGTACAATGGTCCTCATTTTAAATTGAAAATTTAAAAAATCAATTGTGTATGCAGAATTATGTCTGCATAAGTGGATACAGTCCGTAGGCGAGATTATGACCGGCGACAGGGGTACAAGACTCATTGTATCGTGACTCGGATAGCCTAGTAGGCACCAGAACTTGAGGTAATGATCTGGTGTAGTGTAGAAAATGCCAGAGCCGAGGCAGTGCAGTCTGATGTTGAATAGCTCTTGTATGGTAAGGGGTCACAGAAGGATATTTAGGGCCAGCCTAGATAGCCATTGTAAAAAAGATAACAAAAAGACCCTTAATAATCTTTACAATTGATTTGTTCTCTCTACTTTACTCGTTATATCACGTGACACCTAACGGTTTGCGCAACTTGAGTTTACAAATTGATTTTATCTAGAAATACACATCTATTTCAATAATAATTGTACTGTATTGCAAAAGTATAAATCCAAGCCCTTAGTATGATTCGCATCTAAAATGAAAGCGTACTACATGTTTTGTATTAGTCTTCTCCATCCTAAGACTTTGTATACCCTCCATTTGCCTTTATCACTGCTACACATCTTTCGTGCATGCTGCCAACTAGTGACAATAGTTCCTCAGAAGGTATAGAGTCCCATGCATCCTGTAGCAATGTCTTCAACGTGGCAGAGCGCACAAGCCTGACCCCATTTTTCTCATGACTATTTACCTGAATGTGGTTTTTGAAGATGTTCCACAATGGCTCAATCGGGTTCAGGTCCGGAGAGTAAGGTGACCATCTATTAGTCGTTATTCCAACTACACGCAGCGCCTCAATTGTTGAGCACGCTTTATGACATGGTGCGTCGCCGTGCATGTATAGAATTTCTGGATTTTCCGAGTGAAATTGATTCAAAAGTGGCAAAATCCTTTCACAAAATGATAAGGCCCTCATTAATCCCCAATCCTTCTCCCAGACTAGGGATGGGCCTTTTTGTGATCCGTAAAATGATCCTCAAAACATCCAACTGTTCCCATGAGCATGGCGAGACACAATACAAACCTTATCAAACTCATCACCAGGCTAAACTCTGCTGTTAGTACAAGCAGGATTTAGATAGAATTTATACGTGCTTTTCCAGTGACACTAGGTTTCATATGAGAATCACCCGATACCCAGGTTCATCAGTACATAGTATTCGACTCCATTGTTCATCGCTCCAATCTAAATGTAATTGGGCGAACTACAATCTTTTCTGCTTGTTCACCGCGCTTAACGGAAGCTTCTTCCGAGCGATGCATCTGCTGTAACATCTTTTTTGAGTGCATTAGAAATTAGACGTTCGCTGCATCTCCAGTGGCTGAAGGGCCCCATAACTAGTTCCAAATAGCGCATCTGACGATTTTCAGGTGACTCCCGGACGAAAGCATCAAGGTCATCAACTTGTTCCGCGCTTAATTTTGGTAATGGTCCTTTGCGAGGCATAGGATTCTCAGTCTCTCGAGCACACGCAAGTTGTACTTGTCTAATTGTGAAGCCAAGTTTGTCGGATATATTTTGAAGTTTCAAGACAAGCCTTATTTATGTTCTTATTTCAATACATTGATCGCGAGTTAGATGCTTGCGAACTTAAGTTTCTGAAGCTGACTTTTCGAGAGACATTGTTTGCTAGAATAGAGGATGAATTGATAGTGATGTTGAGTTTCGAGGCCTGTGTAGATTGGGCAGCCAAAAATGTCGTTGAAAATGTGTTTCTCTGAGCGATTGTTGGAAGAAGACGATTAGACCAAACTTCATGGCAAGCGGGGTATTAAGGCGAGACAGTCTAACCTATTACGAGCTAACTCAGGTGCGCCTACAGGGCTAATCCCTTAAACATCCAGTTTCGAGACTAACATTTTATATCCCAGAGGCACTGTAGGTCCTTTCTGCCTAAAGGCCGGGAGTATCTATGCCTCAGGTAGTGTACAACCTCCTTTGCCTCCCTCAATGTCTCTCGTGTGTAGAAAGTGCAGAATGTATTCAACACCTGTTAGCGGTGTCCCCTGAGAACCTCAAGCTCCCGCCGTAATATATTCAGAGCCGAGATTGAGTAACAAAGTCCTCACCTCGACGAGGTTTCCCAATCGCTTTCGTAGTCTATATAGTCTTCATTTCTCAACACATTCCCCTATCACCATTATCATGAAGCTAACCACTATCAGATCAGATGGTAGGGTCGGAGCTCTACTCATCAGCAACCCTTGATCATGGAGGAAAAGCCATCCGATGAGTTTCCGGAGCGTACCCAGCACCCGATACGGAGATGGTGGATTGGATCAAGTCGGCCTCTAATGTTACAAAGAAGAGAGATACAGCTGATGATGCGTACCTCATGTGGTCCCGGTATCTAGGCCTCGTCTGGCAGGGCCTGCAGGTTTTTGTGACTTTTTCCCGCGCCCACTGATTCCATTGCTACCGTTTTTTTTGGGGGTAGAAGGTTCCGTGGAAAAGGTGGCCGAATTCCAATGGTAAATACTAAGCTGAATAGCTATTTACCAAGGGGAATATATCAATGATTTTTCAAGAAACATGAGAGGCAAGGAGCACTGTACAAGTTGTGGCCTGGGTCAGAGAGGAGCCCAATGTGCTAGATAGTCTATGACTCAAGTAATACAATAAAAACATCACTTAATCACTCTTTGATATGGCAAATATTAACCCAGCCTGGTCATGGGAGAATATTAAATTTCTGGGATCGTCTAAGAAGCCGCGCACAAATAGTCAATCTTCGTCCTCCGCCATAGTTATCGAACGTGTTGGGGACTAGAGGTAATTTCTTTCTTACTAGGTAGGAAAAACACGAAATGACAATTCTTCATACTTTTACTTCTATTCTAGTCACACAAAATTTGATTGAGTGACCTGAATGGAGCGGGCCACTCCATTTGTCCATTTGCAAAGTTCACAATTATTTAGAGGCTGACGCTTTCCAATCCTGGTATCTTACTTAACCATGACTCTGTCCAAAACGCCTATGGGAAAAGGCGAACCGATCACTTATCGGTGGACTGGATCTACAAGTCCTATACAATCACATTATCCACAAAGATTCATTACGATGATTCAGGATAGAAATTAATTATCTCTTAATATTCGCTGATTAAGTGTTTGGGGTAATAGTGTTGGTAACCTCTGGGCTTGGTCTGGGAGAATACTTACACCTAGCCACATATTTGCATCTATTCTTAAATTTCTGTATCTATCTTAAAGTGTGACATCAAGTTTTCTCGATCATGTCGATGGGAACTAAATATTTTTCTAACTGTACCCCGAAACCCTCTCAACGAGGATCTTGGACTTTAGCAGATTCCTACGGTACGTTTCGATATAAAAGCCTTCTTCTCTCTCCCTAATACTCTCGGAAACAGACTAAGTTTCTACAATAGATTTTATAATACTTTTTCTTAGCCAGTACCATACTAGTTTAATAAACTCGACTTATGCAACAAAACCTCATACACCTTCAGTCTTTCAATCTTCATATTCACGCCCACAATTATTAAGGTCGAGACAAAGAGTGCTTACACGCTCTCCATTGCGTCGCTTCCACAATTATTTTGTCACTAATTTACCTTCATCCTCTCTTCATCCAGATTTGCACTCACCAATCACTGCGCATCATAAGTTACCTCGATCAGAATGTGTTCCTCACCAACCCGGAACCAATGCCCCTCAACCAGCGTCACTAAATCTGACGGGTCATACCCGCGAGCTTACCGTAGTGAGGATACCGCTCCAGTCTGCAAAGCATCATTTTGGCGTCTCGCAATCTCGTGGCACACGCCCTCACAATGAAGATACATATCAAGCAGGCACCCTCGAAATTCCTGCATTTGCTAAAAGAGCGCCCATAAGCCTAAGCCGTGGATCCAGATCGATGAATGGGGCAGATAGTGCAAGTGGTGACCCGCAAGTGTTCTATTTTGGTGTCTTTGATGGTCATGGTGGTAGTGAGTGTAGCGAATTTCTCAAAAAGAGGCTACATGACTATGTGGAATGCATTGCCTTGCGATACAGGATGGTTAGTAGTCTACAAGTAAATCCCAAAAATTGGAGTCAGCTTGATAGTTTGAGTCCTATGCACACCCAAGATAAGAGGATTGGTCATTTTGAAAAGCTAGATAAAGTACCGCCAGATGTCAAGTCTCATTTTTCGACTTCTATAAATACTTGTCGCCTCAAAAATTTATACACAAGTTCAGCTGATAGTACTGAAGAATCTGTCAATTTAATTTCAAATGAAGAAAGCATTAATGAGCTTGAAAGATCGCTCGTTCAACAGTGGAAGGAGATGGTAGGAGGTTATTTTCGTCGTTTTAGACCGGAGTATTTCACACTACCACCTGACACACCGACGTCAATTGAGTCAATATTAATGTATGCTTTCCTTAAAGCTGATCTGGATTTTATCTCTGCTCAGGTCCATAAACCCACAAGGCCTGAACGCCCTTCACCACTTAAGTCATTGGATAATAAAGCTAGCAAATATTCTGTCAAAATGGAGCCGTCGCCGAACTGTATTGGTGGCCCAACTCGTTTTATAGGCGGCTCTACAGCATCAATCGCCATGATTTCTACGCCTACCCCTATGCCATTCTGGCACCCAGCAAGTCCATCTACCATGGTAGTGGCACACGTTGGAGATACTCGCATAATCCTTTGTAATACCGCAACGGGGCTAGCCAAGCCCTGCACTACTAATCATCACCCGTCCTCACCTGGAGAGTCTAATAGGTTACGCAGATATGCTACCAGCTTCATCACAGACTCTTTCGGCGAAGAGCGCATGTCAGGTCTTGCGAATACCCGCGCGTTTGGCGATATGAATTCCAAACGTGTTGGTGTCAGCGCTGAGCCTGAAATAATACGTATTGAGCTTGCCCCGGCCGAGTATTCTATGCTCATACTTATCAGCGATGGAGTTAGCGGGTCACTTAGCGACCAGGAAATCGTAGACATTGTAAAAGAGGCCAAAACACCGGAGCAAGGAGCACGTGACGTTGTGAGCTTCGCAACTGAGGTCTCACGTAATGGCGATAATGCTACATGTCTCGTGGTCAGGCTTGGTGGATGGGAGCGAAGGGGTGAGGGTGGTGTAGGAAGCTTAGGAACTAAGGAGGGTAGAGATTGGCGCAGAGGTGATGCTGTGGATTTAAGGAAAAGAGATATTCTTCGGTAGCACTGCACTGTCCATCAATATCACCGTTCCACACTTTTACTTATGGTTCGTACCCCAGGTTTACTAACATAATCACTATCCTCAATAGTAAGGCATAAACTCGACGTCAACACGGAGTCCTTCGGCACGCTTCAAATATGGCTACCTATTGTAGATAAATTTGCGATGATACAAGAATAATTGCCTAAAGAGGAATCATTACTATATTAGTTGATTATGCGACCGTCAGTTCGTGCGAATTAAGAAAAGAGACCTATGGCATTTCCCCTCTTCTCTTTATAAACTAGATACTACAGTAAGATATTCCACATGAAAATAGGCGTCAGCGTGACATCCTTTTACGTTTTCAACCCTACTTAAGTAGTCGGAATCGAGGAGCCAAACACAAACTTTATAAAAATAATTTCTGTCAAACACAGGAAATAAACACCAGGGAAATTCATTCCATAGGCATCTATTTTTGTCAAAGGATGATTTCGAGCAGACCGAATCTGGTATTGCACAAAGTAAGTGAGTTGTCGAATTTTTAGAGTCCTGATATAAAGTAAAAGCTCTACGTCCTACTATAGGTATAGGAACGATGGAGCCGGCAAGGATCCCTTTATTCTTTTCCACAACCCACTCATTCCGACCACGTGAATCGGAACCAAATTACAGCATATTATTACAAAACGAAATACGAGAAACAAAAAACCCACTCGAAAGAAAACCAGAAGATTCCTCTACCTTGAGCCCAAGCAATTCACTCCTCATACATCCCTTCGCCTGTCACACCTTCCAATCTCTACTGAGAGCGAAAGATAGGTAGCAGGTACCATTGATACAGCCGGTATCTTGCTATTGGTTAGTTGACACCTGAAACAGGTGTTTTCGAGGTCGCTGGTTCCTCAGACTTCTTCTTCGGACTCCAGTACTCCGAAGCCCCATCCCTCCGCCATAAAGACGTCCTTGTTGAGGCGATTATCGCCACCTCAGCCCTTTTGACTGCAGCTTTTGCAAATAACCAGCAACTGGATCGGCATATAGCTTCCAGCTGCTCTTTCTCCACTAGACCTAACTTGTTGGGCCTTGCTCGGAAATCTTGCGAGAATGATCGGTGAGGTCCTCCACAGTTTCGAAATCTAGTGGAGGCCTTGCACTCTTCTTCAGAATGCATTGTTGAACTGCTATTCTAGCAGACCGGAGCGCGGGAGCAACCACGAGTAGCGATAGCACCGCTGAATTTTTCGACGAGGCCGATGCTTTACAGCCGCTATAGACTCGTTGAAGATGCGGAAGCCCGCACGAGAGGCAGAATCCCGGGCAAGAATGGCATGCTGGTTTCTATGTGGCGCACCAGGATTGGCTCCTCGCGGGTTTTAAAGTAGATCTCGTCAGAGATCCACCCAGCATCGACCGTACTAGTACCTTCGAGTTTTTTGATAATCGCGACTACATTCGCGATTCGAGAGTCGACAAAGTCGGAGGCTTCTTCGAGTTTGGCGGCAAAATCCACCGCACCTGTTACGGGCTGTAGCCTTGTATGTGGAACCGGAACTATCCGGCTCCGGCTATGAACAAAAGTGCGCTATTGTCACGGGAAAATGCGCTCGATTGGAACAAAACATCTTGCGCGCGCGTCGTAAATATTCTCCTCCTTAGATAAAATATAAATTCGTTTTTGGACCCATAATTGTGAACAACAAATGTGAAGTCCCTTCACAGCACCAGCTGAAACACTGCTATCGGGACCATTTCTTCGAACATTTTGACGATCTTTACCGAGCGAGGAGGTTTCTTCTCTTTTGACCTTTGCCGAACTTAGTTCCCTCATAGGGGTATTTAACAGAAATAGCGAAAATGAGTGCGAATCAACGGCTGAAGGAAATTTCCTCGATATTAAATTGGATCGTTTCATCTTGGTAGAACGCCAGTTTTTCTTGCCTAAAAGCATTTCTCTATTAAATATCGCTATCTATCATCATAGAGCTATAGACAGGATACGAATAGGATAGAGAAAAAGTACATATATTTCAAGCATAAACAAACTCAGAAGCCTCGGCAGTTAGCAACTGCAAATTCCGAAACTTGGAGAGCTGCCACATTTTATCAAAGTAGAGAGTCTGGACGGCAAAAACTGAGTTTTCAAGGCTCACCATTCTTCCTATGTTGTAAACTGACATGGGCCCAAAGCAGTTTGGCAATGCAAATACGAAGTGAGCACATGGGGCTTGACTCGTATTTACACAGAAGAAAAGTACCCGAAGTGTTAAGTCCAGGTTGTCTATGTGGCTACCAATCACAGAACCCCAAACATATGATTATGTCCTGCCCCCGATGGTCAAATAGTAGAGTTGAGATCTGGAGAAAAGCCAAAGATCGGTCCTACGAAGCGATGACCAATAATCCTGGAGATATAAAAAGGATAACACAGTGGATCCTAAACCATGGTTGGATAGAGCAATTCTAGATGACAAAAGCGGTCGAAATACTGCTGATGGAAAGGAAAAGGTCAAATAATGCTTGGGGCGGATAGAGATGATCTGGTTAGTTTACATGGATGGCACTATAGTGTAACTGCGCTTCCCGAAGAAAATATGTGAAAACTATAAACAACAAGTAGAAAGGTGTGGGGGGTTTTCACCATAAAGGTTTCCTCCCGGGCAAATATTATAGACTGTAGACACCTGCATGGGTGAATAGGGCGCCAAATTAGGATAATGAAATCAAAATCAAATATATATATATATATATTATTAAGTAAATAATGAACTCTTAGCCATTGTGGTTGTAGAACGCATTCATTCAAGTGACTACTAAAGTAAAACTAAGTACAGGTATTGTGATCACGGGTGTATCAGCAACGTGGTCTACTTGACAGCCCCAATTATTCTAACTTCTAACTTATATATATAGATAAATATATATATCACAGATACTACTGTTGAAGCGTCAGCGTTATGTCGCTTTCTTATATCACGTGGAAGAAATGTAACACCATGTTACAGGCTGCGCCTATCTCTTAGTGACTGTCGCACGGACACTTATCATTATTATGTCATTATATTATGATTGGTATATGAAATGGGAATGTACACTTGCGCTGGAACAGCTAAGACAGTATGTGGAGAGATGTCTTCATTAATGTGCAGAAGTGAAGTGATTATGATAATTATTATGTTACAGATTGGGGGAGGCTCGTCCCTTATCCCCTAGCTTGTTCACTTGTAGACCAATCACGTTACCAGTATGCAGCTCACTAAAGTGTGCAACCAACTAAGCAGCCATGCCATTTGTCCTATATCAACAACCCATCTCTCGTAATTCACACATTACTACATGTAATGTCGTTATGTAGAGACTGGATCTCCTTCATGCGCCATAACGCCATGCTGCCATAATAACTACCTATGCACCAGCTACTAGATCTACCATCCTACATATCTGAGCATAACACATTAGCCTTGCTATCTAAAGTGATGTCCAACTTGGCCATACAAATACAGGGTTGCAACAAATATGGAAACAAGATATTGTTGCAGCAAGTTTCATATGGAATCATGGGCCGATACGACCCAGATTCGCTATGAGGAGCCCACTCGGAATATCAAGGATATGGTGTAGTAGAACAGATAGTGAGGTTAGCGCATTGGGAGTTGGGACACCTTAAGTAGCCTCCCCTCGGTGGACAGTTCCGAGATGTATGTAGAAAATAGACAGTAATCGGCCACCATTCCTTTACTATATTGTTTTGTTCATCGCCCATCACACACTGGCTCAATAGATTCTACAGCAACGTCTATGAACTTGATTTTATCTTATACAATATGCACCACAAATGAATCTTGATTTTCAACCGTTTTCAACCTAACTACTAGTATAATCAATACAGATCACTGTAGGAACGAAAAAGTGAGACATAGACAAAAAGAAGCGGATAAGATAGCAGCAATCCAGGAGTGGGAAAGCGCATGGAAAATTTTTAAGGATGAGCGACTATCTTCTCGTCAGGCGTCGGCAGACCCAGAAAATTGGAAAGTAGCAAGTATCATCACCGACAAGAGAACAGGCAGAAAAAGAATAACCGACAGAAACACTCTCTCTTTCATCCACGGAAACCTGAGCAGGGCCCAAAGAAGTATTGCAATACGGATGAGAGTCCTCCAAGGTCTTAGACTCAGTAGGGGCTATAATAAAAATCTAATCTAATCTAATATAAATGATAAGCGAGTACATTGGCATCAATTCTTGTCTACATAGAAAGGTTCCTGGAACAACAAATTCAAAATGCCAGTGTGGATATCCGTTACTGTTGAATGACCTTTCATGTGTTATCTTTGAAATGATGACTAATTATGTTAATGAGTAATGAGTTACTTGTTTAGAAATGGCGTCAGGAGAGAGGGACAACTGCTGTATATACGTGTTTCCTTTAGTTAGAAGTCAAGAAATGAAGATATATGTTAACCACCAATTGTTATTACTGCTATGGAAAGCTTGTGATATAAATACCACTCGAGTATTCCAACAGTTATTTGGTCCTGGCTTGCCCTCAATGGGCTAAGGGAAGAGGAGAGGTGCTGCAACGGGCAAAAGATAGGTCTTTCGAAGCTATGATGAACAGCCCGGAAGACATGAAGAGAATTACAGATTGGATACTTACAAACAGCTGGCTTGAACAGTTCCGGCTTGCAGAAGAAGTTGAGACAGCAGTCAATAAAGAGATGACGGAATCAGGGAAAGGATAGAACGGAATTCACACTGGATAAATAGTGTTGACGCACTGACCATGGGAAACCAATAGACGTGAGACAGTCAGTTTTGGGTGGTTTTTACTGAATTGGTTTCCTCTCTTGTAAATAGTATTATTATGGCGATACATTCTTGAATCAGTGTTTAAGCGGAAAGTTCAAGGTGAAGCTTCAAGGAAAAGATTCTCAACAAATCTGAGATAGTCACATTTAGATTATCATCTTATTTCATGCACCAGCTTGGATCGAGCTTGTTGAGGCTAGATCTTG